CAAAGCCAGTGAAATTATAAACGTTGTTTGAGCACTCCACAACATTTGCATTTAGTACTGAGTGGAAGATTTGAACACAAATGAATTCAATTTTAAAAGCCGTCAGGAGGAGGGGAAGAACAAAGCTTATCCTTCCATAGCAAATNGCAAATGAATTCGATTTTAAAAGCCGTCAGGGGGAGGGGAAGAACAAAGCTTATCCTTCCATAGCAAATCGTAGTAAAAACGAGTACAATAATAAAAACATCTTTTTTATATAACTCCACATTTTACGTACGAATGTATGTTATATAAAAAGAATAAATTGTATTGAGTGCATTTCACAGTCTTATTTATAGATAATGAAAATAAAAACGCCTGTGCTTCCTCTTTGAAAACCTCGCGCAATATCCCTTTTGGTTGCTAATATTTGAGCCAATTTTTCGTATTGCCCGTATTGCCGCTGCGAAAACACAGAAATCGAGAAAATTCATTTATGATGACTTACAATCATGCACAGTATATTTTACTTAATTTTTTTATAAAATTTTATTATGTAAACCCACGAAAATAACAATAGAAACAACTTAGAAAAACAGAACTCCGATCGAAATGTAGAATAGGTATAATCGTAAATTTCGAAGATTGATCGAAAGGAAACGGAACGCAGAATACCAAAGTTGCCAAACGGAGAAAATTTCGATTCGAGTCGAAATGCAGAATAGGGCTGATTAATAAATTTTTATAATTTGTAGAAGTTTTTTTTTTTTTAATTATTATGCAGTTTTTTAAATATACATAAAAATGAAAATTTACATATTGGTGAACAATTAAAGTTTTCTTGAAACTCAGTCCGATTTTAGCAAAAAAAAAGTGCAAAACAAAAATTAATAAATGCAACAGTGGCCATAAGTAAATAGACATAATTACTCACATGTATGAATTTAAAGGAACGCAATTTTTAAGGAAGTAAATCGGAAAAACGATAAAGTTTACAACAACAAAAAATTAAAAGTTGGACATTTCAGAAAAATTCATTTTGGAACTGAATTCTCGTGGTTCTGCATTGCATACCATGACAAGGTAAACGTATTGTGATTGAAATTTTGTAGCACCATGAGATTCAGCTCTGGCGTGAATTTCAATACAAATACAATTCTACTACTACTACTTACCTAATACAACGCTCAATTTAAATGTACACGCTAACAAATAACAAATGTAAATATGGGGATCAATCTATTTCAAATTGACCAATATTTGGAATCGACTATTTTTGATTTGCATGTATCTTGGTCAGAACTTTCTTTTTTGTCATATAACAAAGTTCTGTCAAAGGAAAAAAAAATGTTTTTTCCCAAGTTCGAAATTTCACGATATTTGGGGCTATACAAAAAAATTAAGAAAACATTCGAAAAATAAAATACAGTGGTTTTAAATATAGAAAAATCGTTAGAGCAAAACCTTATATAAATTTTTGATTCCTTTTTTTTAAACAATACGTCTAACTGATCTTAAAAGATCCTGAAATTTTCATGCAGGTGTTTTTTTTTTAATATATGAATTTTGAAAATTGTGTAGCATACTTTTCTTTGAAGTTTGCAAACAATTTTTTCGAAATTCAAGAATGTATATATGTACATACATACTAATTTAATTTCGAAAAAAGTGTAAGGAATGTTCGAATTCTACGTTCGATTTTAAGCAAAAATGGCTGACAAACTATATACCAAAAATTACGTTTGACCCTCCCAATTTTTAAAAGAAATCAGTGTATTATAATTTTTTCTGAACCAATTAATTTTTGATTTACATAATTTTGTGTTTTCTTCATATTTACGAAACTACTTCACAAAACTGAGAAAAAAAACATGTTGGTCGTTTTTTGGTACAAAGTAAAATAAATTTATACCAAAAAACTTACAATATACTGCTGTTTCTTTTGAAAATTGGCAGGGTAAAACGTAATTTTCGGTATATAGTTTGTTAGCCATTTTCTCTTAGAATTAATCGTAGAATTTAAATTTGCTATACACTTTCTTCGAAAATTTTACTCCGACCAAATAACTCCGCCCTAATGTACATATGTATATATTAAAAAAAAACAACATCTTGCAAGTTTCAGCAATTTTTAAGATCAGGATTTGTATTTTTTACTTTAAAAATTTTGTATTTTTTTTTTTTTTGTTTTTCCCCGATGTATGGATTTTCTTTATAGCCCTAAATAGTATCACTTTTAAAACGAGACCAGAACCATTTTTGCACTATGTATAATTTTTAAAATTAAAAAAAAAATAGACTAGCAAAATTCCGGAAATTGTGAAATTTAAAATTTTACATAACTTCCGAAAACGAATTTTCAACTTTTTTTCCTTTGGCAAAACTATAACAATATAGAACTTTTACATATGTACAAATGTGATCAAACAAATTCCAGCTAACTTATTTTGTGTAATTTCTTGCAATAGTTTTCAAATGTCCGTGGGTAGGCAATTTTTCATGCCGACTTGTGTAATTAATTATACTTGTAAAACACTTATTCATTATATTCATAATATAAAAATTAACTATGTTATTACTAATGCTAGCTTTATTTATAAAAACAACCATTTTAAAGTTAAGTTGGTGTATCGAAGAAGTAGAATTTTTTTGTTAAAATAAATATTTTTTGTTAAATAAATATTAAATTGAATGCTTGCGTCCTATTATAAAAATATTGTCCATAGCCTTCAGATCCCCGAATAAAAAGAAGTTTTGAATGCCGAAAATAATTTTGAATTGTATATATTAATGTAACTTCATATAGATACATAAATTAGGTTAAAACATAGACAGACGACAACGTTAATCCGGATTAACGGCGGAGTTCACCTGACGAAAATTGTAATCCAACAGACTGCAGTATTGCGGCTTATGCAAGCCGCGAGGCCGAGGATTCGAATCTCACGGCCAGCAACATTTTTTTAACTCTTCAATTATTATCTTACTAGTTTCAAAGATTTGATTAATTCCTAAAATTATTTAAAAAATGCATTCCACTGTAGAAAAACTGTATGGGCACCAAATGAAAGAGAAAATTCTGTAGAATGAAAAAAATTAAAATTTTTTGGTTCGCAAGGGCAAATGGGTATTGAAAATGTTCATTTAATCAGTTTTACTTTTTTAAGCGTATAAAGTTAGAAGGACGAAATTCGAAGATATGTATGTATGTATGTGTATGTATGTATTAGTCCTTAACATATATTTTTTTCGAAAATAATTATTGTAAAATGTGAAAAAGACATTTTCAATATGTAATCGTCCTTACGCACCAAAAAATTTAATCGGCCTTAATTCTACAGAATTTTTTCTTTAATTTGATAGCAGTTGTTTTTCTACATTGCACTGAATTTTTTAAATAATTGTTTGAAATAATTATATTTTCCAAATTTCAAAGTCCTTCAAAAAAAAATCTGGACGTCAGAGAAAAAAATTAAAAACGCGGTTTTACTATATTTGGTTCATAGTTTCGCGAATATATACGATTTTTTTTGTGTAAAATTTACTGTCGAACGATGTTTTGCATACAATACTTTTCTTATTAACAAAAATAGAATGCCAGACGAGTACATTACTATGCTGCTCATTGAAATGAAAAAATATATACATACTTATGTACTTATGTATGTTCATATATTTTTGTATGTGTACACATTTTTTTCTATATAAAAAAATAAAGCAGCCATTATTTAGGTTTTCGATTAATCAGCTTATGATTAATCAGTATTCTGGTTAATAAAATTGATTAAATTCTGATTAATAAAAATAAAATTAATCGAGAAATTAATCACTTTGATTAATAAAAATTGATTTCGTTGATTAATTAATTAATCAGATTTCGATTAATCAGCTTCGATTAATTGATTAATCGCACATGCATAGTAAATAAATTCACAAGTTTCCTCACAAGTAATATGCTTTTCTTTCTTAATACATATATACATACACACATATCTAACTAACAAACGAAATACCAACTAAGCTTTCTGATGGATTTCAATATTAATACATAACTACTAAGTACTTGCAAACTTTTTCCCAAATATTTAAGAAGTATTATACTGCGGATCAATACATGTCAAATCGACCTATGGTTGGAATCGACCATTTTTGATTTGCATGAATTTTGGTCAGAACTTTTCTTTTATCATATAAAAAATTAAAATTTTTTTTTGAAAGTTGGGCAAAATTATAAATTTCGCGAATTCCGGGATTTTTCAAGTTATAAATATATACATACATACATATACATATTTACAAAAATCGAAAAATTAAAGGTATAGAATTTTGAAATTTAAAAAATCGTAAAGTCAAAAACTTATATTTTTGGCTCCATTTTTTTTATACGATACCTCTAACTCATCAGAAAATATTTTTTTTTGAGATATGAATTTTTTAATTTGAAAAAAATATGTTATTGCTCTAACTTTAGATTAAAAATAAATTTAAATTGAAAAACATTGTTTAACATAACTTTATTTAGAATTTAGCAAACCAAAAATTTTTTCAATGTCCATGTATATCTTAAAAAAAAAACTTCAAAATTTTAGGATCTTTTAGGATTAGTTGGAGTATAAAAAAAAATTCTGACAAACATTTTTATAAGTTTTTTGCTTTCACGATTTTGTTAATTTCAAAATTCTATAGGTTTTATTTATACAGCCCTAAATAACATCTTTGAAACGAAACCATAACCACATTTTTGTAACTATTATAGTTTTTGAGATATTCAAAAATAAACTTGCAAAATCCGGGAAATTTGGAACTGTCGAATTTTTTCCCCCGCTTTGGCAGAACTTCGGTATATCAAAATTCATTCAAATCAAAAATGGTGGATTCCAACCATTTGTCGATTATACATAGACATCATTCAAAAATATATATATATACATACTTATTCAAATATTTACAAATTTGCTCTTTCCAATTTTAATTTCATCTCAACTCTTGGCTCCTCACCTCCACGCCACACACCGCAATAGACTTTGATGATCTGCCACCGTTCCTACCCATTGAACCACCGCTCGATGTCGACTACAACTTTTCACTGGATCAAACCGAGGGTCTTATCGAGTTGTTTAATGACTTTGCCTAAAATTTTAAATATACAAATAGTAATAAATACAAAAGTATAATTATAAAAAAAAAATTATCAAAGGAAATAGTGTTTTAAGCAAGAATACAAATAAATAATAAATTCAATGTGTATGTGTAGAGATATTCACAACCACCAATAAAAAATATATAAAAACACAAACTGCAAAAAATTAAATAAATTAACAACTTCTGTATGCTACTGAATGGAAAACGAAGTAATATTATTATAATTATTAAAAATTATTATTAAAAAAACTAATTTAAAATTTATAAATATATTCTTTATATAAATACATATATACTTTATATATATACATATACATAGATATTAATAATTGTTAATACATACATACGGAAAGAAGCGGTAATAAATAAAATAAAAGCGAAAACTCTCGCATACCCCATAATACATACATACACGCAAATAAATATATAGCAGAAAAGCCTAATGTATAATAATTTGTGTTTGAAGCAAACAGGAAAGTTTCAATAGGTTTGAGGGAAAGTGCGGCGCGCAACGCAGATACACAAACACACACGCATACAGTTCATTCTTATTTAACGTTAATTATATTTCTTTATATACATGCGTGCGTATATACATACATACATACATTAAAAACAAACTAAAATAGATATTCGTAATTGTAATTATTAATTAAAAAATAATAATAATAATAAAATATGAAACTAATACAGTTCACACGACTTCACACACACACACGGATACACAACAACAACACTAAAAGCTACTTTTTAAACCCCGCAAAACTAAACTTCCAAAAATTTTGTAATTAATGCGCAGTAACAGTTGCGTAGAAATTGTTTTAGGTAGAAAGCTAAAAAATATTGAAATAAACTAAAAAAAAAAAAATAAATAGAAAACAGAAAGTATTTATTTAGATTCATGAACGATCTACAAAGCAAGCTGAATCGCCGCCAATAAACGTAAAAAAGAAAACGATAAAATCAGTGTAAAAAATGTAAAACACACCACAAAACAAGCAGCAGCCCAAATAACAAAAAAAACGCTGCCAATTAGCGCAGTGAAAATTTTAAATTTGATTTTTTACACGAAACTGTAACGCTATAAAGTATTTTTTAAATTAAAAATTTATTTTTTTTTTACAATAACCTATAAATTGTTTTCAAAACTTTGTTAAAAACA